AGGCATATATGCGAAGATCCAATTCCTTGCAAAGAGTAAGTTCTTTGCAGTACCCAATGTCATCACTGTCTATAAATATAATAACGGCCTTGAAAAAAAATTCAGTGAGCCTATCTTGTTTACAAGGTTATGTATAATTTTGAACTATACCTCTGGATAAATTGTGACTATCACCTTTGTTAATAGCAATATGATTTGATATTTTATAAGATACTTACTGAAACATTTTGATGAATGAATATTTTTAGATCTTTTTATTTTAGATAAATAATCATTTTGAATGTTCCTAATATATAGATTTTTTATGCTGTCAACTAGGTTTTGTTATGTTTTCATCTTTCATTAAGCCACTGCCTTGCATTGATAGCCGCAACATCTAAGTGTGTTCATGTGTTAATATAAGACATAGAAATAAATATTTATCTTTTATTAAGTCAATTCCTTGCATCGGTAACCACGGCATATGTAGGTGTGATCATATGTAAGTCAAGTTTAAATAATGCTCTTTATTAAGTTTTCTCTTTATCTCTGTCATGCTTGAAATTAATGTTGCCGTTGGCCACTTCAGATTATCGGACCTAGTTGCTGTTTCCCTCCTTAATCTATTGACATTACATCAATTTTTCACCCAGCCTAACCAAATTTGCCATCAATCTTAGTGGTTAGTGACAGTGTATGATGCTCAGATGACTAGCGGCTGGGATTGTAATGCCTGGCAATTGAATGGACAAGTTTTATATGGTCCAAAGTCCCAAAAAAGGCTGTTACAACTTCTTTTAATGGCAACGTGTACATTCATGTGACTGTGATATGTACCTGAAAATGTAGCCAGAGTTATTGATTGTTCCAATTTAGTTGACCAAGGATAAAATTAACGAAGTAGTGAATCAGTGACTAGATTGTGGGTGCAATGTGCCATCATATAATTATATGAGGGTTGTTTCAATGCAATACTTTATGTTATGACGATTTCAAGCTGTCTGAGCAGCATGTCAATCACTGAATTTTTCTTGCCGCTTTGTCTTCTCTCGCTCTTATAATAGAATCCAAAGCTTCAGAATAATCTCATATACCTTGAAATTATTTCCTAGGCAGAGCAAAGGGCACGAGAAGAAAGTGAAAGGCTTAGGAAAGAAGAGCGTGAACAGATTGCTGAAAAACGAAGGAGAGACTTGGTTGGCTTTCGATGATAACTATTACTTTGCTATTCATAATAGTCAACAAGTTCCATGTTGATCCTCACTAACAAATATATTATTTCTTTTATTCTCATCAGACCCTTAGGGCTCGTGTGGCTGCTAAGACAGAAGAAAAGAAATTGGAGTTGCTGTTTCTTCGCTGGAGTGAGCATCATAAAAGACTAAGCAATTTTATAAGGTTTGTCCTATTCAATTGTAAACTAATGAGGCATGAGTCTATATCATGTAGTATCTTCCTATCTGGTCTAGTTATATCTGACATCAAATCATGTATACTATGCAGGTTATTTTTAATTTTGGTCCAAAAGTGTCCATATTCACATTTTATTCAGACGAAGATAAGTTTCTATTCATGTGCATTGTAATGTTGACTCAACTTGATGACTGGATGTTTCCTGCCAATTGCAGGATTTTAGGTAGACATGTGATAGTTTTTATTTGAACTTTTTCGTACTTCTTTGATTGATTGTTGCCTGTATGTTTTTAGGACTAAAGCAGAACCTCCAATCTACTATTTGCCTAACAAGCCCTTGGATGAAGATCCAACGTCACTTGAGAAGCGCAGAGAAGAGGTTGCTAAATTTAGACATTCGATTTCTCTTGGTCTTCATCTTAAAACATCGTTTTTGAACTCTATGATGTTATTTTTTGTTGTTAAATTGGTGCTTACGAGTGCTTGCTCACTACCACACTAGATTCAGGATTATGGTATTTTATAACATTATTTTTTCTTGGTAATATGTATACCCTTTTCAATCTGCAGGCATTCCTAGAATGGAAGAATGCAAGAAGAGAGGAAGTGTCTGAGTACCAGAAACAGATTGGGGAGCAGTACCTTTCCAATGTTGAGAAGGAATTGGAGAGATGGCATAATGCACGGAACGCAAGGAAAGCGAATAATGACCAGAATTTACAGGAGACTATGGACAAAGAGTTGGATACACACAGGCTGGAGCATGGTCCCAAGAAAAGAAAGATCCCAGATGGAAACAATAATGAAGATGATGATGATGTGGAAGATATAAATGTGGGGGAGGATGACATGATGGATGATGAATTAGAGGATGACTCTGGTAGGAGGGTTGATGAAACAACAAAGTCGGAAGCTGGTAACGCCATTGCAGATCCTGCAGCTGATGCCGACAATGCAGAAGGGAAGTGATCTCGCACAAGGTCACAATTTTCATTAGTTCTGAGTTACATTTGTTTTTGTAGTTTATTCCTTGCAATTTAAGTTTACGTATTTGGACTTGCAGCCTTTCTATTTTCTGGTATTAACCTGAACTTTATTTATACACTTGTTCTCTTTGTACTGTTAACATCCTTTGGAGAAGGAGTTTGAAGATTTAAAAGCTTGGTGTAGTTTTCTTCACTTGGGCAATTGGTACAAAATTGAATTGTAGGATGAAACATCCCTCATGCATGAAGTAAATATTCAGATGGTGTGGTTTGATTCATAGTGACAGAAGTGATTTTCAGTGTTCTGGTATTAATGTTTGGCATAGAATATTTTACCTTCAAGTTTGTAACTAACTAAAATCTCTGTTCTCTTATAGCCTTAAAAGTGAACATATATTTAAGAATACTCCCGTCATTGATTATGAAAATCCATGGAGTTTTTTAGTTTCAAGTATATGCTAGACATAGGATAGGATAAATATTGCTAATTTTGCTGTAAGAAAAATGATTTTACTAATAATTAATAAACAAATAAGTATATATTGCCGATAAATTCTCTCGTTTTTTTTTATTATATAAAATTGGTCCATATCTTGATTAACATTGAAAATTTACACTGATTTTATTTTACTAAATTTTTAGAGTTGATATCGGTAAGATGAAATTTATTCATTCTAACAAATGGTAAAGATTGTCTGCTTACTAAACTGTACATTTTTACATAATTGGTACATGCGCGCTCGCGCGCACACACAAAAATAATAATAATAACAGGCTATAGAATGAGCAGAAACTTTGAAAGCAAAACACGATCGAGTTATAAAGTCATTTTGAGATTCCATTAAAAAAAAAAGCAATCACAAAACTTGTTTATTCATCCATCATTAATTGCCATAAGCTCTCTTTTGATATAAACATGATCAATCCGCGAAATAGTTTTTTTTAATAAAAATCTTAAAATTTAAAATACTTGATGTTACACACTTCTTTCAATTTCAATATTGGAAAACCCTAGTCTCAAAGCTCAGTGAAAGGGGGTATAAATTAGGTAAATGGATAATTGAAAGAGAAGAAGGGATTTACGTACCTACGATCCTCAAAGTAATAAACATCCCTTGAAGAGGAATTACATTGAAAGGCAATCAAAATCACATAGTTGGTTAGACAACCTTTTCTTCTGTTGTTCCTTTCGAGCATTGGGAAAACATTAAGGTTCATTCCACTCCGAAAAAACAGATGTTTGTTGTCCTCAACTTTGATCTTATTGAAATCCTTTTTTTTTTCTGCTAAGAAAGCTTTGCAAATAACAATAATTAAATTTCAAGTAATAAAAAAATTCATATCACCATATTTACTATACTCTATTATTAATCATTTAGACAGTGATAAATATTTGAACCTATTTGTTATATATTTAAAAAAAATCCAATTAAAACTACTTAAAATCTAATGATCTAATTAAATTTTTAGAATAAATATGAGATCGAATCGAATGTTTAAACCATCATTTTATAAGATACAATGTTTCCTTCATTCAACAATTCATGAGACAACAAATGTAGGTTTAATTATCTAAAATATTAAATTAATAATATTATCACTTTGAAGCACATTTTTTTTCCCATTTGTCTTAAAATTATTTATCTATTTTAAAAAAATAACATATGTATTGAAAAGTGTATATATATATATATATATATATATATATATATAATATGTTGTTTTTAAGTTTATATAAAAAGAATATTAAATCTTAGACACAGTAGATGAAGGGAACAAATTTTTAGCCGTGAGCATATTAAATTTCAATGTCTATTCAATATAGCATAAAACTCCCATGGATCAAGTGAAATCATTATATTTTACCATTTTGAAGAATAGGAACACCAACTTTAAATCTTCATATATGAGGAATCCATAATCAAATATCACAAGCGACAATAACTAATTTAATATGGTGATATTGCAATTATAATACATAAAGTCAACATGTATAAATATAATAACATTGTTTGTTTATTTGAAATTTGCAATTATATTCATTCAATAAAATAATATTACGTTACATTTTCCTCATATTTGTTTTTTCTTTTACAACCTCTATGGCAGTAGTTATGCAATTCTTTTTTATATTATATAAGTATTTGATTAATATGAATGATATTTTCTGAACATGTTGTGCTCTATGGTGAGAAGTATGCTGAAAGAGAAGTCGATTCCATCTTAATCTTGGGGAGAATCTATGGTTAGAAAATATTTATAAGATGAATGAGCAACTAGAACCCATATGTCTACATGAATTAATTCAAAGAAAACAGAAGTTCTATTGTTACTGCTAGAATGGCCTGATACTGCTCTTTGAGAAATTTGTCTACACGAGAAACTTTCTTTCAAATATTTGTCTACCTGATTCTTTGATGGTTGATACATGAGAAGAATTTGAGAAAAAAAGTTTACAACAAATATATGACAAGATTTAAGATTTAAATACGTCTAATTGAATTTTATAATATTATATGAAAAAGAAAATTTAAAAATTATAAATTATAAATTATAAATATAACTGAAAAATTTAGAAAATTAAATAAATAATAATTTTATTTTTAATTTTATAAATTCTTTTTTCGNACCCTTAGGGCTCGTGTGGCTGCTAAGACAGAAGAAAAGAAATTGGAGTTGCTGTTTCTTCGCTGGAGTGAGCATCATAAAAGACTAAGCAATTTTATAAGGTTTGTCCTATTCAATTGTAAACTAATGAGGCATGAGTCTATATCATGTAGTATCTTCCTATCTGGTCTAGTTATATCTGACATCAAATCATGTATACTATGCAGGTTATTTTTAATTTTGGTCCAAAAGTGTCCATATTCACATTTTATTCAGACGAAGATAAGTTTCTATTCATGTGCATTGTAATGTTGACTCAACTTGATGACTGGATGTTTCCTGCCAATTGCAGGATTTTAGGTAGACATGTGATAGTTTTTATTTGAACTTTTTCGTACTTCTTTGATTGATTGTTGCCTGTATGTTTTTAGGACTAAAGCAGAACCTCCAATCTACTATTTGCCTAACAAGCCCTTGGATGAAGATCCAACGTCACTTGAGAAGCGCAGAGAAGAGGTTGCTAAATTTAGACATTCGATTTCTCTTGGTCTTCATCTTAAAACATCGTTTTTGAACTCTATGATGTTATTTTTTGTTGTTAAATTGGTGCTTACGAGTGCTTGCTCACTACCACACTAGATTCAGGATTATGGCATTTTATAACATTATTTTTTCTTGGTAATATGTATACCCTTTTCAATCTGCAGGCATTCCTAGAATGGAAGAATGCAAGAAGAGAGGAAGTGTCTGAGTACCAGAAACAGATTGGGGAGCAGTACCTTTCCAATGTTGAGAAGGAATTGGAGAGATGGCATAATGCACGGAACGCAAGGAAAGCGAATAATGACCAGAATTTACAGGAGACTATGGACAAAGAGTTGGATACACACAGGCTGGAGCATGGTCCCAAGAAAAGAAAGATCCCAGATGGAAACAATAATGAAGATGATGATGATGTGGAAGATATAAATGTGGGGGAGGATGACATGATGGATGATGAATTAGAGGATGACTCTGGTAGGAGGGTTGATGAAACAACAAAGTCGGAAGCTGGTAACGCCATTGCAGATCCTGCAGCTGATGCCGACAATGCAGAAGGGAAGTGATCTCGCACAAGGTCACAATTTTCATTAGTTCTGAGTTACATTTGTTTTTGTAGTTTATTCCTTGCAATTTAAGTTTACGTATTTGGACTTGCAGCCTTTCTATTTTCTGGTATTAACCTGAACTTTATGTATACACTTGTTCTCTTTGTACTGTTAACATCCTTTGGAGAAGGAGTTTGAAGATTTAAAAGCTTGGTGTAGTTTTCTTCACTTGGGCAATTGGTACAAAATTGAATTGTAGGATGAAACATCCCTCATGCATGAAGTAAATATTCAGATGGTGTGGTTTGATTCATAGTGACAGAAGTGATTTTCAGTGTTCTGGTATTAATGTTTGGCATAGAATATTTTACCTTCAAGTGTGTAACTAACTAAAATCTCTGTTCTCTTATAGCCTTAAAAGTGAACATATATTTAAGAATACTCCCGTCATTGATTATGAAAATCCATGGAGTTTTTTAGTTTCAAGTATATGCTAGACATAGGATAGGATAAATATTGCTAATTTTGCTGTAAGAAAAATGATTTTACTAATAATTAATAAACAAATAAGTATATATTGCCGATAAATTCTCTCGTTTTTTTTTATTATATAAAATTGGTCCATATCTTGATTAACATTGAAAATTTACACTGATTTTATTTTACTAAATTTTTAGAGTTGATATCGGTAAGATGAAATTTATTCATTCTAACAAATGGTAAAGATTGTCTGCTTACTAAACTGTACATTTTTACATAATTGGTACATGCGCGCTCGCGCGCACACACAAAAATAATAATAATAACAGGCTATAGAATGAGCAGAAACTTTGAAAGCAAAACACGATCGAGTTATAAAGTCATTTTGAGATTCCATTAAAAAAAAAAGCAATCACAAAACTTGTTTATTCATCCATCATTAATTGCCATAAGCTCTCTTTTGATATAAACATGATCAATCCGCGAAATAGTTTTTTTTAATAAAAATCTTAAAATTTAAAATACTTGATGTTACACACTTCTTTCAATTTCAATATTGGAAAACCCTAGTCTCAAAGCTCAGTGAAAGGGGGTATAAATTAGGTAAATGGATAATTGAAAGAGAAGAAGGGATTTACGTACCTACGATCCTCAAAGTAATAAACATCCCTTGAAGAGGAATTACATTGAAAGGCAATCAAAATCACATAGTTGGTTAGACAACCTTTTCTTCTGTTGTTCCTTTCGAGCATTGGGAAAACATTAAGGTTCATTCCACTCCGAAAAAACAGATGTTTGTTGTCCTCAACTTTGATCTTATTGAAATCCTTTTTTTTTCTGCTAAGAAAGCTTTGCAAATAACAATAATTAAATTTCAAGTAATAAAAAAATTCATATCACCATATTTACTATACTCTATTATTAATCATTTAGACAGTGAAAAAAATTTGAACCTATTTGTTATATATTTAAAAAAAATCCAATTAAAACTACTTAAAATCTAATGATCTAATTAAATTTTTAGAATAAATATGAGATCGAATCGAATGTTTAAACCATCATTTTATAAGATACAATGTTTCCTTCATTCAACAATTCATGAGACAACAAATGTAGGTTTAATTATCTAAAATATTAAATTAATAATATTATCACTTTGAAGCACATTTTTTTTCCCATTTGTCTTAAAATTATTTATCTATTTTAAAAAAATAACATATGTATTGAAAAGTGTATATATATATATATATATATATATATATATATATATAATATGTTGTTTTTAAGTTTATATAAAAAGAATATTAAATCTTAGACACAGTAGATGAAGGGAACAAATTTTTAGCCGTGAGCATATTAAATTTCAATGTCTATTCAATATAGCATAAAACTCCCATGGATCAAGTGAAATCATTATATTTTACCATTTTGAAGAATAGGAACACCAACTTTAAATCTTCATATATGAGGAATCCATAATCAAATATCACAAGCGACAATAACTAATTTAATATGGTGATATTGCAATTATAATACATAAAGTCAACATGTATAAATATAATAACATTGTTTGTTTATTTGAAATTTGCAATTATATTCATTCAATAAAATAATATTACGTTACATTTTCCTCATATTTGTTTTTTCTTTTACAACCTCTATGGCAGTAGTTATGCAATTCTTTTTTATATTATATAAGTATTTGATTAATATGAATGATATTTTCTGAACATGTTGTGCTCTATGGTGAGAAGTATGCTGAAAGAGAAGTCGATTCCATCTTAATCTTGGGGAGAATCTATGGTTAGAAAATATTTATAAGATGAATGAGCAACTAGAACCCATATGTCTACATGAATTAATTCAAAGAAAACAGAAGTTCTATTGTTACTGCTAGAATGGCCTGATACTGCTCTTTGAGAAATTTGTCTACACGAGAAACTTTCTTTCAAATATTTGTCTACCTGATTCTTTGATGGTTGATACATGAGAAGAATTTGAGAAAAAAAGTTTACAACAAATATATGACAAGATTTAAGATTTAAATACGTCTAATTGAATTTTATAATATTATATGAAAAAGAAAATTTAAAAATTATAAATTATAAATATAACTGAAAAATTTAGAAAATTAAATAAATAATAATTTTATTTTTAATTTTATAAATTCTTTTTTCGTGATATACCTAGATCAATTATTTTTTAGTAATTCATGCAATTATACACAAACATCTGAATTTCTAGTTTCTTTTAGGATCTTCTTAATGTGTAATTAAAAATATTTTTTCAACAACTTAAATCCACATCTGAATCTATTTTCACATAAAACATAAAATCTACTTCTAAAATTATCAACAAGGGAAATAACAATTTGAGTTGCATTAAGTCACATGCGACTCAACCAAAAACACACTATTTAACTCTAAAAAGAGATAGAAAAAAACTTATTTTATAAACGATTTTGATTAAATAAAATTGGAGCATTCTCCATTATAATTTAAATGATAAGCTCTGAAAAAAAAAATGAAAGATAAGTTTTATCTTAAAAACAATTCTTCTTTAAATTAATATTTTCATCTTGAATTCGCTCACGAAATATAAGAAGGATTTATGCCATCTAAAATATTATCCACTATAAAATCTAAAACTTTTATTACAATTTTATTCTTTAAAAACCGTTTTCAAAATTTAAAAATATATATTTAAATTACTCCTAGGTTGAATTTATAAACACATATAAAATTATTTTAAAAATAAATATCAGTAGATATTGGAGCAATAGAATTGACTTGAGAAAAGTCTTGAAAACAGTGAAAAAGTAGAGAAATGATGAGACAGCACAAGAGAAGCATCCTACCCCACACTATTACATCTCTTCTTCTCCACTGCTTTCATTTCTTTTCATAAGTCTTTTGAAACCTCCATGCAAACCTGCAACACAACCATTTTCAACCTCTCTCAAATCTATGCATATATATATATAGAAAGTATACAATAACAATAAGTAAAGAAAGTTTTAATATAATAATTTATCAATGAGTTAAATATTTTAATTTAATTTATTTACTTACAGGATCTACAAAATTCTAAACATAAAAATATTAAACATGTATAAGTGAATTAGCAACATTTAAATAAAAAATAGGAAAAAAATTGCAGCATCTAAATAAATAAAAAAGATAAGAAAAAGACAAGAAAAGCATGAGCATGATGAGTGAGAAATTGGAGTTACCTAAATGTCTATACTCTCTGTATGTAGTGTTGTGGAAAGTTTAGTTCGAAAATGGTAATGCCCATGCTGTGGTAATTATTGAAATAAAGGTAAAATCATGAATTTTGGCGTGAATTGGATATCATATGCTCAGAATTTCACAGTCTTGATTTGACTACATAGATAAGAGTAATAATGATACCTATACACCTTAAATTTCTCTTCTTCTTTTTGTCCATATCAATTAATTAGGTTATGCTGTCATTTTTATTATCTCACTTAGTTTTTAATTTTAATTTTCAAAATTTTAAGACAAATGTGGTAATTTGCAAGATTATGGGAGGATTCTATTGCCTCCACAATTTCATGAGTCAAATTCAAGATTATGGGAGGATTCTATATGAACAATTGTGTTATCTAAATTGTAAAAATAGTATGAGAAAAAAAAAGTGCATGTACATTTTGTAATAAGTTAACCAAAGTGATGAAAAGATTTCTAACTTTTATTTATTTTGACTGAAACAAATGGGTAAATTGCATAAAAAATAAATCGTTTAAAAAATTGAATTGAACTCTTATTTTAATTTAGTTTTAAAAGTTAAATTATTCTTGAATAAAACTAAATTAAAGAGCAATTGAAATACATGCTTTAAGAGTTATAAGCAATTCACTTTTACAGTGTAGTTGTGGTTACTTTTATCAAATTACATTTAGATTTCAATTAGTTTTACACATTATTAATTCTAGGGGAAAATATCATAGAAAAATAATTAAATTTTAATAAATATAGTTCTAGGTCTCTAAAGAATCTTGTTCAAGTGGGTTCACATCAATTGTCTAGAAAAAGAATAGTGAGAGAAAAGTGGATTTAGTGGGATACTTATAATAGAAACACAAACCATAAAATGATGGAAAGTTGGTTATAAAACATTCCTTATAAGACCTCACTCATAACATTGATTTCTGTTGAGACAAAGGCACACTTCACAAACAAGTAAAACACAATCATAACAATGCAATACCTCCTTTTCGGTCATGCTTTTACTCAAACTACATTATATTTACGAAATTTACTAAACATGTATCTTATTACTTGTAAAAGCTGTTTAAAAATAAAATATTATCCCACATATGTGTATGAGAGAGAGAGAGAGAGAGAGAGAGAGAGAGAGATTGTATGAAATGATTCATAGAAGTTGTGTACATAAATCATAATGCCATTGAGTTGAATTAATAACCAAATGCAGATATCAATGGCAGATAAAACCAAGTGTTGATGAAATCCAGACATTAGATACTTCGTTGTTGTGACTATATCTGAGTACAGTAGTTGACATAAATTAGTAGATGTAATAATATAATTATCTGAATGATAGTCTGTTCCCGTTAGACAAAAGACCAGTTCACGAACACAAAGGCAAGGCAGTGATTGGAATCATTATCATCCAAAACTTTGCATGCAATGGCCTGCTCATAGGACACTGGTCGATTCATACTTGATACACATATTCCAGCTGGAAGATATGCAAACCCCTGAAATGAAAAAAAAATAAGCATCATCAGATAAGCACAAATTATAAGAATAAAAAGGAATATACTGACAAGTAGTTTACTAGGGGTTGATTACCTGTTGCATTATCTTGGAGAACTCGATGCAGAGAAGCTTCCTGCCAGATTCATCAAGAACTTTATCCAGCATTATGTCTTGAAGAGCAACAAGAGTGGTTTCAAGCATATCAAGTCCAGCTTGGTTGGCAAAGGTGAAAACTGGAGATGCCTGCATGATTAATGGAGTTTGTTGAGTTCAAGACAAGTTCTTCCTGAAGAAAGATATTAAATAAGGAGGCAGAGAGTGATTACATTAGTTTTTACAGAACAGCATAATATTGCATCTGAATGGTGCCAAAGTTGCTTCAAGATTGCATCACCAGATGTGGACTCAACTCTGAAAAGGTCTGTGCAGGTGTGAAGCCTGAAAGAAACAATCTTTATTGCATCAGACCAGTCAAATGAGTTTAATTTATCTCAAAATAAGCCTTTTCCATACAATAACAGAACACGGTTAATTCATAAATTTTATCACATTTTTAGGTGTACTTTTGCTGATCCTGAAGACTAATCAAGACAAGAAAATCAAATGAAGCATAGGAAAATTAGACCTGTAGCTTCTGTAGATCCATCTTGCCAAGGTAAGAGCCTCTGGTGGACCAGTAAGTGACTTTGGCCCTAACTCTGTACTGAGCCGAGAGGGTGCAATTGCCATGGCAACCCTCTGAACTGATCTTACAACATTGCGCACATATTGGCGAGCCATGACAGCCACATTGTCCCGCAAATGGTTCTCAAAAGTAAACTGGAATGCAATTGTGAGGACTGACCTAAGGTTGTAGTTATTCAGATCAGTTTCACCAGCAGGACGAGCATTACCAGATCCTATGTCTAGTGCTGATGCCAAATCCAGTGTCCTAGTTGAAGCTGGACCATCCTGAAATCAACAAATATTCAGAAACACGTAATCATGTTAGACGAAACATGTTCATGTGTAAGACAAAACATGTTCATGTTCATGAGTCCCTTCAAAAAGCTACTTAAGAAAATAACTACAAGACCAAGTCATTTAAGAAACAAATGCATCATCATACAGTTTTAGGATCCAATGGTATGATGCGGAAACCAGAAGGCAGTAACAGAGCATCATCTGCAAAAGACTCATCGATAGGTGCAAACACAAGCTGTGCGCATGCTCCAATTGCATTTTCATCAACTCCACTGCATAGCTGTCACATCAAATTGCATAATTAGTAAAAAACATGGACAGAAACAGTAGTAATTC